CCCGATCGATGTCCCACTCTTCAGACGTCATCGCCGATTCGATTCTTCCGACACAACGACAAAATCAACCGTTGAGTCAAGGATGGTGGAAGACAAAGAGATATGAATCGACCGTCGTGTGTGGCGGAGGGAGAATGGTTCCTCCGGCGAGGCGGTAGTGGGATTGCGGAATAGAACAGAAGAGGGTTTATAAAGCTAAGGGTTAGGCTAACTGATAGAACCGGTTAACCGGCTTCGTTCATAGGAGTAATGTCAACCGGTACTTCCAGTTACAGTCCATCGTGTATGGCCAGGTAACGACCACGTGGCTGCCACGTAAGCACGGATATCCAAATCAAAATTTATTAGGTAAATTGTCATAACTAAATACTATGCATTTAATTTTAGTATAAGCTTTTATTAATTAAATTTTTTATATGATTTATTTGGGGTATAATTAACCTAAATTTTTAGGTCGGGTATCCTACATCTCGTGTTCGTGATAGCACTTTTAACGTGCTTCTTTCACGGCATGCTCGAGTCAGACTATAATATAAAATTTTAATTTATTTATTTATTCTTTTAAAAAATAAACTTGGTGATTTTTTAAAGGGTAATGTATAAGGAAAGCTGGAGAATCCAGGCTGGCAGAGATGTTAAAATGGGTGGTGCGTTGTGTGCCGGAAAATAGGGGCCGACGGATCTACCGTTAAAAATCCGTTACATGCAAACCGACGGTTTCCTTTATTTATTTCTTTTTTGCATTTTGGCTTTTAATTTTTATTTTTATTTCCATATTTGCTTCTTTTAAAATTTTAAATTCTTAAATTTTATTTTATGCTTATTGTTTTTTATTCGTTGGATTTAAAATATTAATTTATTATTTTAATATTTTATCAGTAATAGAAATTAAATTTGAGGTGTTGGCGGGAGCGTTTCAAAGTTCATAACGAAATTGATTGGCTTCTGCATAAAAAAAAAGGACACCCAATATTGTTGTAGTGTTATGCTAGACACTTTCTGATACTCGAGTTAGTTACGTGCTATGAGGTTATGTAGGTTAGGTATGTAACAGCTCAAACTCATTGCTAGTAAATATTGTACGCTTTGACCTATTACATACCATCGTCAGCCTTACGTGCTATAAATTAGTTGCATGCTATTATAATGGTGCGAAAATCTCTCCCTAACAGACACGTTTAAAAACCATGAGGCTGACATCGATATGTAATGGGTTAAAACGGACAATATCTGCTAGCAGTGAGTTTTGAATGTTATAAGACATCTTTTGTATGAATATGTTTTGAGTGTTTACGATACTCAGTTGCTTTGACTATCGTGCTAGGTTTGCAGACAGAGTCTCTCCCCTCTTGGTAGCCGACATGTCCCTCAACTTGGTTTTCGAGCATTGAGAGCATATTTTTGCTACGACCATTTGGGCCTCTTAGTTTGCTTCAGTCGTGCTTGTGAATTGAATCAACGTTTATCATGTTGTCGTTTATAACTCGTAATATGAGTTCATATATTTTTTGATAATGAATATTTGCTTATTGTGTTCTAGGACCATGGCACCACATCGTCGTTGCATATTTTGGCATCTCAACTGTCATATCCATATTGTCGTTGCCACCTCACACAGCTACATCAAGCAAATGCTCAACACAATTCCCTCAGGTTTTCTAAGTGTTTGCCACGTCACCATCAAAATAGCCACATCATCAAAAATTGAAATGGTAAAAAGAAAAGGTTAATTATGCGAAAATATAAAAAATATAGGGCAAGTATTATAATTTCCGGAAGTTTTGTGGATTTCTGTAATATCCTGTAATTTCGGGGAAATAAAAGTAATATCAGATTCAAAATTATCAAATTTAATATGGACCTTTTGTTCAACTCAAAAACTGTCAGTTTAATCGAATTCGTAGGGCGCGGAACGGAGGCGGCGAAAATCCACAGCTCTTCGACGACCGACAAAGATAAAGAATCGGTAGTTCACTGGAAGGTCGAAGAAACATTGCTGTTAGGGTAACAACCAGAAATTTTTGTTGATTGTTAGAGGAAATTTTCACAATTAGGGTTTTAGGGTTTCTGGAATATCATGTCAACCGGCAAGCTGAAGGATGGAGACCGTCGGCTGGTGATTCCGATGCCCCCCAAACCGAAATCTGATACCCAGTTGGCGACAACCGAGTCGAACGCGCTTGTAGCGTATACGCCGCCGGTGAAGGAGGAGGATGAGGATTTGGAGGTCAAGCTCCGAAGAATCATCGATAATGTTCCTGTTCGTGTCAGCAACACGTCTGGAAGCTCTGCTGGTTCTGGTTCCGGTGATTTTCACCAGGTATTGAGTGATTTATGTTGTTTTATATTGCGTAAATTTTATTAGTGACTTCTGTCTGCGGTTTATTCTCTCGTGGGCGTGTTTTCATGATGAATGGATGTAAAATTGTACCAATGCATTACTGGGATTGGTTAGCAACGAGTGTGATTCCTATCTTAGGTCTTATGATATGAAACAAACTGGTTTCCGTACATTACAGGTTCTTTAAATTCTTGCGACTGTTAGCTGGTAATGAGTGGAAGAACTGATTATTGGGGGAATTAGGCTGGGTGTGAACAACAATATTTCCCTTACCAAAGGTCTGAAAATCCAAACTATTATTGAATGAGGAAGATGCCCCTTTCTTTGATGGAAATTTGAGTAAACAAAATTCCTAGATTGGGTTTAGCTCGTGGATGGTTTTTTTTTTTAATATATGGACGAAGGGGAGACATAGGATTGGTGTGATGATTACAAAAATGTTCATAAGCGAGTTGGAAAAGGTAGAATCCAAACCTGGCTAAAAGAGATAATCTACCTTGTAGGAGTGCAACTTTTAGATTTATGAGATCGGATGTTTGTAGATAATCGTAAAATCAGAACACCTAACTGGCTCATTGGGGTGGATTTGGAATTGTGTATTTGGCTCAAGTCGGATACAGGATAGTTGGTGTTCTTTTTAACTGGATGAAGCGTTTTTCATTGACCATGTTAAAATGCTGTTATCATGCGAGTGAAATACATATATTTGATCAAAATTTTCTGGGAGCATAATGAATTAATTGTTTGCTCACGCGGGAGTAGCATAGCAACTTAGCATTAACTATATGCTAGTTGGTTAGTACTTTCTTTACAATCAGTTAATGTCTTTGCTGAAGCTAGGACTTACTGGCTTCACCTTTTAGATTTTCACAGTGAAGAAAGTTTAAAATTATGGTGCTAGTCTGGTATTCAAAGCTGACTGCTGCCAAGCAGAATTTGATTTATTGGAGAGTTTGAAATTATACTAATTCTGACTGAGAGGAAGAAATGGATTGGAGCGATGATTGTTCCACGCACTCGAATTTACGTATGACCTATCAAAATCAGGTTGTTGTGGATATCATTAGGAAATAATGATCGTGGAGTAGCAGTAGTAGGTTGACAAGTACTCTGTTTGCAAGCAATGCTCTGAAATCTTAGCTCGTGAAAATGCATCGCTTGCTTTTGTTGGTTTTTGGTGTCATCTAAGAAGGGTTAATGTCATTTAATATAAGTCAAAGGACGAGGTTTATAAAAATACTGTTCGACGTGAAAGAAATTCTTTAGTCTGGTGTTAAATGGGTCTTTCATATTTCGAATCTTGATGTAGTTAAGAAAGGTAATGTATTACAATGGGGAATTGAAAGTTTTTACCTACTCAAACATCATCTGATGATTCTGATATGTGTTTAGGAAAGAAAGTCTCCACTTGTGTTGTTAAGCCTACAATTTTCACTTCAGATTGTAAATGCATAGGACCTTTTTGTTCGTGATTTTGTGGAGTCTGTCTCGATCGTTGAATATATATACTAATACGGGCCTGCCCATAAAATTTTCGAATGACAGTATAGGCAAATGAGGCGAAAAGAACAAGACAGACTTGCTAGAATGGACGTTGATTATCAGAAAAAGAAAGAAATAGCCGAATTCAATATGCGAAGGGAAGAACGGTTGAAAGCTGCCGAGGAACGCACTTCAAAGAAGCGACTAAAGCGTCAAAAGAAAAAGCAAAGAAGAAAAGAAAAGAAGAGCAAGTTGAATTCAAGCGGAGGAGATGAGAATCAGAAAGATGCATCCTCTGGTGATGAAGGGGATACCGATAATGGCGAGGATGAAGCAACATGACTCGTTATTCTCCACCCGGAATCGAAGTTTGAACTCTTAGCCTCGAGCTTTCAGACAAGCCATCTAACCGGAGACAGCTACCAGTACCTGGAATCTGGCTTTTGTGTTTTTATTGCAGGTGGGATTGGAAGAATGTTGGATTTGAATACACAATTCTCCCATCTTCCCACAGGACCTCTATCTTTCTCTCAATTGCATGGCGCTGAAATGTGTTAGCAGAATATCTATAACATTATTACATGTAGAACAGATGGACATAATATTAGTTGAGTCCAAGGGATACTCATGATTGTGTTATAACGATTCGTTGCTTATGATATATGAACAGAGGGGACGTTGATCTACGATCAGACCCTAACATGCTCGTAGAAACACCGACTATATCATTCATATTGAATGCTCATTAGGCTCATATCCTGTCGCTTAGATGCTCACGCAGGCCTAACATAGCACGAAACACATCTCTTAGGCGCTCACACGGGTTTAGTATACTCGTGCACAATCCGTCAGGAGAACAAGAATCTTGATTTTCCTCTCTATTAGTATCTCATACAGACTAAGCTAATAATGCTTTTCTCCAATATTTAGTATTATTATCACGGACTTAAAAGTTCCTATTAATTTAGTTAGTTATAACATCATAATTTCATTGAACAGATTTTGAAGTTTGAATTTTTTTTAAAAAAAAATCTCTTTTTTTATTTGATTTAAAAGTTGAATTTGTTCATGTTAAGAAGTACAAAAATGAACTATAGATTAGAGAATGGGGCCCAACCCAAAATTAAAATAAGAAATTAATAATAAATAAATAAATAAATAAAGCTCTGATTCAGAGGGTTGTTGAAATTTTTGGGTGTTGGAATTCTCCGTTTTCCCCCCCTTCAGTTCTTAAATCTTCATCTTTCTCTCTGCTTTCAATTCTTGTTTTCTCTGAAACCCTAATCATGTCCATGGGATCCACTTCTACTCGTCGCATTTCTGTTCATCAAGTGCTCGGCGGTGGTCCTGGTACTTCTCTTCTCTGTTCTGTTCTTTTTGCGATCTTTCTATTTTCGAATTGGAACTTACATTGATGCTTTAGAATTCCCTCCTCGATCTGGGTTTACCTTTTCATGTTTCGATAATGAATTGTTTTGGTCTAATGTCGTTTTCTCGCTATCTTTGTCTGAATTATGTGTTTCATTTGGCTGATTTTTTATGAAATGTTCCGAATTCTATTTCTCGAATTGGCTGATTTTGTTCAATTCTATTAAATTTGTTGTTGGTTCGCTAATTTAGCTATTGATGACAGTCGCTGATATGCTCTTATGGAAGAAATGGTGTGGCGGGGCTGTCATACTCACGTCTACAACAGCTTTGTGGTACCTGTTTGAAAGAGCCGGTTACAACTTCTTATCTTTTGTTGCCAATGTTCTATTGCTTCTTGTCCTCATTCTGTTCGTCTGGGCCAAATCTGCTTCCCTTCTCAATAGGTACTTTGACTCTTCCTTCTGCCAGCTTTTAGTGCTTTACATGGTTTTATTTTCTAATCTCCACTTCTTGTGTTTAAGTTTGTGGATGCGTTATTTTTGTTTTATGGACGATGAATCAAAAGTAAATAACATACATTGTAAAAGAGAACCATTTTATTGTGCAAAATCTTGAGAATAGTTTGTTTGATCAAGGGATTACGACCTTGACCAAACGGTCAGGGTTTGAATCTGCAGCCCACATACAGTTCTGTACAAACTTGGACTCCTTTTTGTGGAACCATTAGTGTAAGAGAAGAACATTGTCAATTTTGTGTTGGAGAAGTAATCGTGTAGATTTTTTGAGATAATATGACTTAGATTGACATGAAATGTATACATTCTCAAGGCTTGAGTTCAATTGGACGTAGAGTAAAAGTTACCTTCTTTTGTGATTCAGACCTCTGCCTCCGCTTCCTGATCTGGAAATTTCTGAGGAATCTGTTTCGATAGTTGCTGATGAACTGCGATTGTGGGTCAATTTTGCACTGTCAATTGCACGTGATATTGCAATAGGAAGAAACCTTAAGCTCTTTCTTCAGGTTAGGGTAATCACTTGTCTTATCGTCTGTGATGACCGCGACTTGTGTGTTAATTTATTCACGTCCTCAGGTTGCTCTTGGACTATGGATTTCATCATTCATTGGCAGTTTCTTCAATTTTCTTACACTGGTCTATTTTGGTGAGTTCTTTGGGGCTCTTATTTCTTTGTAATCAGCGGTTCAAAAATCATATCTATTGCTATCTTTAACAATGTATGCATTCTATCAATATATTTGTTTCAGGGGTCCTTCTCAGTCTTTCAGCTCCACTAGTGTACGATAAGTACCAGGATCCCATTGATGAAAAGTTGTGTGTAACACATAGATATGTACAAATGCAATACAGGAAGCTTGATGAGAATGTCTTAAGGAAGTTACCATTACCCTTAAACAAGGAGAAGAAGATGCAATAGGCACAGCACTCGCTTGATTATCAGTAACTTCAAAAGAAGTGAGCTGGATCTACCTTTTTCATAATGCTCTAACGCCATTTTTGTATTCTGATGTGTCCGATAAATATTATTTCAGATCAACATAGAGTGAGTATTATGTACTTTTATTCTCATGGCTTGTAAAAAAATCTCTTATTTATTCCTTTGTTGTGTGTGTTTCCTTCCTTCAATTTGAGCATCAGCTGATTTCTTTCTGTTGTAATTTAAATACCATCTATTCCTTTATCAAGGATCGTTAGATCTTGAAACTCGTGAACAAGTTCTGGTAGCTTGTGAGATTAGATTACTACCTATTAAGTTTACATGTCCTGCATATTAATATCTCAGAAGCTTTCACAAAATTATTATCATCTAGTTTTCAACTTTTTAGAAATATAATGGCTAATGAATTTGCTGATAGTAAATTTTCTTTTACACAAAGATTTCATTTCGTTAGATGCATTATTAACTAGTTACAAAATCGATTTCCTCTCCTCTTGCCCTGGCTTGTTTGAGAAATAGAAATAGATTTACCTTGATTGTTTGTCCATTGCCTTAGCTTTAATCAAGTCAGCTTCCGCTATTTTAAGAGTTTGCCGATCTTCTTGTAGATCAATGTTCTTGCATAGTAGTCTTTTCCATATCATTTATTAAAATGGGGATCTCATTATTACCCATTTTTTAGCAAAACCACCCATCTGAGTCATCCTTAACCATTGGTCACTAATTATGATTAACTGAACTTGTCAATGAAGTTGAATTCTTGCTTTGAAATTCATTTTCTAGGCCAAAGTAACCAATCTATCTCGTAGTAAAAGATTTAAGTGGGCGATATTATACTGTTCATACAAGTCTTAGATGGGCTGTCCTGATGCTTGAGTGTGTTCTATACTGCAATGGTTTTTTCCAATTTAGTTCAACTAATCATTGCTTCACTGGCAATTTAAGATGATAAGTTTGTGTTTGGTAAGAAAATTTCCATATTGAGATTTATTTCTGGGGCAAATATGACTTGTTATACCTTGATTTTTGTTGGTTGCTGAAAAACTTTAGTTTAGTTTCTTTGTTCATCAAGTGTTAGGTTTTCAAATTTGCATCTGATTTGCTTTGGTTTTACTTGTTGCTACTTTGAAGTACGCAGAGGCACATTGGCTTTCAACAGAGGACGATCAGTAGATTTGAAAATTTCGATCAGAGACATTGAGATTGCTTTTGAATGAGATGTACTTCAGCATTCTAGATCTTTTAGAAAGTTGTGGTATATAACTTAACATAAATGTATCCTGACTTTGACTTCGGGCTGAAAACTAAAAGCATTAATGTTCGGTTTTGGATCGAAATGGTATGGTGTCTTGTAATCACTAGTGTTTGGTTTTGGATTGAACTTTGTTGTTTCAGCTAAATGATTTTGTGATGTAGTTTTTTGGTCTGCTTTCGAGTTCTGCATACGCTTCGGTGCAGATACTCGAACATAGCATCTCGTAACCGATGGAAACTAAAGCCACTTAAACTCGATGTTCAATTAGCAGCACCTTGATCAGTAGAAGACTGAAAATTTATTTATCTTAACATGTTGCTAAGGCTGACTAGTTCCTTTGCCTTTCAGGTGTAATGACAAAGAAAAATGACCCATCTCATGTGACACACATGTAAGTTCCTCCTGAACCTCACTTTTAAGGTAAAACGTCTCGCATCTAGTAGACAATAAACAAATTTATCAAAGACTCGCATGGAATAGAGAAATTATTATTACTGGGACACTCCTGCACCAAAGCACATGTATTTTTGTCTCCTGGTTTGTATGGGGTTCTGCAAAGGACGCAGCTGTTCATATATATTTATTTAAGCTGTCCAATTCATTTACGGTTCTTTATAAAATCCTCAAGTATCTTAGTTATAACCTTTGAGTTTGGTACATCCTGAATTATATATATATATTTCTCTGGAAAGTTGCAAGTAATGGGCACATGGTCTGTGTGCTAAACCGTAGGACGCACAAAAGGTAGCAGAAAAAGGCCAAAAGGAAAGAGAATTTATTGCACTTTTTAAGGGTGTTTGGTTTTTTTGTATTAGATTAATGAATTAGGAGTATACTTGTTCCAAGTTTTGGATTTGATAATCTTACCTCAAAGCATAATACTTTTCATAGATCACAAACTCATAAACCGCTAGCAGATATTGTCTTCTTTGGGCTTTCCCTTCGGGCTTCCCCTCAAGGCTTTAAAATGCGTCTGCTAGGGAAAGGTTTCTGCACCCTTATAAAGGTGTTTCGTTCTCCTCCCCAACCAATGTGGGATAATCACAATCCACTCTTCTTTAGGGCCTAGCGTCCTCGCTGGCACTCGTTCCTTTCTCCAATCGATGTAGGACCACTGCCAAATCCACCCCCTTTGGGGCTCAACGTCCTTACTGGCACACCGCCTTGTGTCTACCTCCCTTCGGGGAACAACCTCCTCACTGGCTCTGATACCATTTGTAACAGCCCAACCCACCGCTAGCAAATATTGTCCTCTTTGGGCTTCCCCTCAAGGCTTTATTAAAATGTGTTTCCTAGGGAAAGGTTTTCACACCCTTGTAAAGGGTGCTTCGTCCTCCTCCCCAACCAATGTGGGATATCAAAATCCACCTCTCTTCAGGGCCCAGTGTCCTCGCTAGCACTGGTTCCTTTCTTCTCCCCAACCAATGTGGGATATCACACCAAGAATCATGTCAAAAGCTTTTGCTACACATTCAGATTTTTCAATTCCTGACTAAGACAACACAGATTCAGATTTCCTTTTAGGAAGCTTTTTGCAGTCAAATTCTTTCTAGTGTTCATAATTGTTACGAAGAAGTGAATTTGAAGCTGCTGATTGATGGGGATAGAGAGATAAATGATGCTTTAAGTAGACGGAAGCATCATTCATGTTTTGTTTTGATTGGTCCAAACTCTTTTTAGATCCAAAGGACGAACGGGGAAGGCAAAGAGCATGCAGTCATGCGTCTCTTAGGGAGACCAACAACACTTTCTGGACAACAGGTTGGCCTTACAGACCCATTATATCAATTTTATCGCTTTCAAAATCACTCTCCTTTCTGATCAACAAACTTATTATCAATCTCAGTTTGATCATGATGAATGCTTCTCAAATTTTTTATTTTTCATTTGTTTTTTGCCCATTTGATCACCATTTTTCAAGAGTATGCTTATGTTCTTACCATTTCTCTATGGGATTTGAAAATTTGATAGTGAAAAAGACAGGATTTTAGGGATGGAATCTTTGACAGTGCAGTGTGGGAATCAGGGCTTGGGTTGGTGTTGGTGTTGGTGTTGGTGGTGGGGTGGTCCTATAAATGCTTATAGGACCATCCCATATTTATCATCTTTCTAAGGTCCATAATTTCCTTTTTCTTTTTTCTTAGGATAAATACTTTATTTATTTATTTATTTGAATCACAAGTATATGTTCTAAAATATATTATTTTACAGATATGTTTATGGTTAATAAATTAATGTTCCACAATTAGAGAATCTTACACCCCCAAACATACTTGCTTTATGCCATTAATACTATACCAAATTGTGCCTCTTTTTTCTTTTTGTTATTTTATTTCACCTTTTAAACCCTTTTTGGGTATACAAGTATTTAGTATTTTTTGACAAAAATAAATATATATTACCTCTCGTGTTTAAGTTTAAAATTTTATTTAATACTTAAATAGGGGTCGAACCTAAGGTGCATGACGTACTTGTGCATAGCTGCCAATGTTTGTGGATACTTTTTATTCGAGTCTAAACAAATGTGTACCCAAAATGGGTCCTAATAAGGTTAACTTTAGAGCTTTTTCCCAAATCCTTTCACCAAATCTAAAAAAAAAAAATAAAAAAAAAAAAAAAAAATAATGATGGTTGGTGTGAAATGGGGAGGCTTTTTGAGGTAATTTATTGTTTTTTTTATAAGAAAAAGATTTTGTCTGAATATCATTGAAACTGTACCAAAAGGGCATCTAAATTTAACAACATTGTCTCGTGGGTGCGATCACAATTTTGTCTTGAAATTCGATATCTATGTTTTTTTTAAAACAAATTTCTTTTAAGGACTTCGTTTTTTATTATTTACTTTTCAGTCCCTCCATGTGTATATATTTTTTAATTTCACATCCTAAATTATTACAAACATCCCACCTCCCAATGGGGTCCGTTCTTGTTTCAGAATTAATGCCCACAACTTATCATGCATTCGTAACTTCACACCATTAACACACCTATTATAATTCTCCTACGTTCAATGGGGTAAAACTAAATCATTATTCGAAGAAAAATTGATAAAATGGCTAAATAGTCGAGCCGTTACACTCATAGGCATGTAGCTCGAGGAGAGCCCAACTGCCCACGAGTTGCACCACCCCTTTCTTTCCCTTCCCTTCCCTCCTCTCACGAACAACATTTGTCTAGTCGTGCACAACGCCTTGCCTCTTTTCACGAAGTCAACTGTTTGTGAACAACCAATGCTTCAATCGTCCACCTGCCCTCTGCATCAAGCTTTTCAATGATAAAAGATGCAATTGTTACACACTAAAAATTTCAAATGATTATAATTTTTTAACTATAAAATCATTCAAGGCTTAATCAGATATCAATTAATTAAGATATATATAACAATGGAGTTGTTATGTAAACCTAATTATTATTTGAAGAAAAAAGGGTAAAATTTTGTCGCTCCATCCTTGAGAAACATGGCTCCACCCCTAGGAACCACTCAACTACAACTGCAACAATTCATAGTTGTTGGCTAATGAGAAGTCGATGGGTCTCTTTCTTTAACTCTCAGACAGAAGCGCCATTGAAGAAGAAGAAGACGACAGCTGAGTGAGCCCTTCCCTTCCCCCTCTGCTCCAACCTTACAATTCCATGGCTTCCAACTCCCAAGATTCTATCTTATTACTGCTCATTTCACTCCCTCTTTCCCTGACCTGACTGCCATCTTCAGATTCCTTCATCCTCTCTCTCTCTCTCTCCACATTTGGTAAACCCAAGGACTTCACTTCAGTCTCTTTCTCCTTCTTCTTCTTCCTCAATCCTTCCAATGAACTTGTTTTAGAACTCTAAAAGATGCAGGATCTGTTCAAACCATGAACTCCATTACCAGAAATCTTGCTCTGTTTTGGAGCTTCGCTTTCTTCTTTCACTTTCTTCTTCATTCTCCTTCTCTGGCGCTCAACGGCGATGCCACCCTCTTGATTTCTCTCAAGCGCTCCATTCTCGGAGATCCTTTGAATGTTTTGGCTAATTGGAATTTCAATGATGATACCCCCTGTTCTTGGCGTGGGGTCACCTGTACTGACCTTCAAACCGACGGTGGTGGCTGGACGGATTTCCTCAGAGTCACTGCCCTGTCCCTCCCCGGCAGTCAGCTTCTGGGTTCCATTCCGGATGAGCTTGGAAGGATTGAACATCTTCGTCTTCTCGATCTTTCTGGTAATTTCTTTAATGGGTCTTTGCCGGTTTCCATTTTCAATGCTTCGGAGCTTCAGATTCTTTCTCTGTCGAATAATGTCATCTCCGGGGAGTTGCCGGTGGCTATTGGGGGTTTGAGGAGTCTTCAGGTTTTGAATCTGTCTGATAATGCGTTGGCTGGGAAAGTGCCCAGAAATCTCACTGCTCTGAGGCATCTCACTGTGGTTTCTTTGAGGAGTAATTACTTCACCGGAGAGATTCCGGGGAATTTCAGTTCGACGGAGGTTTTGGATCTGTCGTCTAATTTGCTTAATGGGTCTCTGCCGGCGGATTTTGGTGGGGAGAAACTGCGGTATTTGAACTTCTCTTACAATAAAATTTCAAGTTCGATTCCGGTGGAGTTCGCCAAGAAGATTCCGGCGAATGCGACAATGGATCTCTCTTTCAACAATCTCACCGGAGTAATTCCTCAGTCGATTGCTCTGCTCAACCAGAAAACAGAGGCGTTCGCCGGAAATGAAGATCTCTGCGGGAAGCCATTGAAGCATCTCTGTTCGATTCCTTCTTCACTCACAACTCCCCCAAATGTTTCTGATTCTTCATCTTCTTCTCCAGCTATCGCCGCCATACCCAAAACAATCGGCGCCATTCCGGCAACACAGTCCCTCGGAGGTCCAGGGACACAAACTCCTCCGCCCCGTAACACCATGAAACCCATCACAATAGCCGCAATCGCCGTTGGAGACCTCGCCGGAGTCGCCATTCTCGCCGTCGTGATTCTCTACGTCTACCATCACCAGAAACAAAAAAACCCCAATTCCAAAACCCCTAAATCCACCGTGAAGAAGCCGCCGATTGGGTCACAACAAACCCTCCAAAGTAATCAGAAAAAACCCTCGTCGGTGTTGTTCTGTTTACCCACCAAAGGCGAAGAGACATCAGAGGCAACGAGTTCCTCCGACGGCGAAGAACAAAGAGACAAACCAAGCACAACCCACGACGGAGAGAACAGAGAGAGTAAGAAAAACGGCGTTCTCGTTACAGTAGACGTAGAAACAGAGCTCGAATTGGAGACTCTGTTAAAGGCATCAGCGTATATACTCGGTGCAAGCGGCGGAAGCATTGTGTACAAGGCAGTGCTCGAGGACGGCACGGCATTCGCCGTTCGAAGGATCGGCGACAGCGGCATTGAAAGCTTCAAAGATTTCGAGACCCAAGTGAGAGCCATTGCAAAGCTTCGACATCAAAATTTAGTAAAAATTCGAGGATTCTTCTGGGGAGAAGACGAGAAGCTCATCATCTACGACTATGTCTCCAATGGCTGCCTTGCATCCTCCATCCACAGTAAGTTTCCCGCGCATTTTAGCTTCCACTCATCCATTTCTCTAACATGCGCATATTTCATCAATCTTTCCTAATTTTATTGATTTAGGAAAACCGAGTTCATCGTCTTCTTCCCAGAGCCATTTATCATTCGAAATCCGACTAAAAATGGCAAGAGGAATCGCTCGAGGACTGACCTTCATCCACGACAAGAAGCACGTCCATGGCAATCTAAAGCCGTCCAACATCCTCCTCAACGCCGATATGGAGCCGTTAATCACCGATCTCGGCCTCGACAAGCTCCTAATCAGCGGCTCCAAAATCGCCCTTACCTCCGCCTCCACCCGAAACTTCGGCAGCCACAGATCCACACCGAATCGCGAGCACCAAGAGAGCAACGTCGGTAGCGCAATTAGCGGCGGAAGCCCGGGCGTGAGCTTGGGATCGGCATACCAGGCGCCGGAATCGCTGAGGAATCTGAAACCGAGCCCTAAATGGGACGTGTACTCGTTCGGAGTGATCTTGCTGGAGATTCTGAGCGGGAGAATCGTGACGGAGAGGGAGGCGAATCAATGGAACGGCGGTGATGAGGAAGTACGGATGAAGAAGATGATCGATTTGGTGATCAGAGAGGAAGTGGAAGGGAAAGAGGAAGCGATTATGGGGATCTTTAGATTAGGGTTTAGGTGTGTTTGTTTCGTACCTCAGAAGAGACCAACCATGAAAGAAGCTCTGCAACAACTTGATAGAATTTCTTCCTCCATTTCTTCTTCACGCTAATTCATTTCACCGTGGAGCTTTGATTTTCTTCTTAATTCATGTGTTTTGTTTTTGAATTTAGGGTTTTTTTTAGGTAAATTTAGTTTTGGATGTAAAGTGTGTGATCCAAACCTAATTAAGCTGATCAAATTCTTACCATCCTGTTTGTCATGTAAAGTTTTTCATGAACGATACCGACTTTATCAATCTAAGTTTGACATCGGCTAACAAATGAGTTGACCGTACAGATACCAATTTAACCGGTGGGGCGTAGATTCTCATTTGATTAAAGGGCTGGAGAGGGACGGGAGAGAGATTTCTTTTTGTTAGATAAGTGAGGATCGGGACGTTGGGTCATTTGGTGAAGAAAATCCCACTCAATTCTTCGACCCGCCTTGGCTCACTTCAAAGAAACAAAGCTCAATTTCCTTATGTCTCACGAGTTCTAATAGGTCTAATGTCTTGGTTTTATTTGTTCGTTCTGCGTAATGTCAAATGTTCTCTAACGGGTCTAATGTCTTGGTTTCATTTGTTCGTGTTTTTGACATTATGTTAATTAGACCAATAATAATAAACCGTAAATTCTAGATGGAGATACTGTAGGCCACTCGTCCTGCTTGTAGACATCTACCCATTCATCTATAGTACACATATAAATGTCTTTATCTTATTTATTTTTTAAAATTTAAATAACTTTTTATAGTCAATTTTTTTTAATGGATTAAATCAACCTTATTATTTTTAATATTTTTTTAAAAAAGTAACACTATATACATTTAAAATACAAACTCGAACTTTATTATTTTAAATGGAATATTACTTTATTTAAATTATTTTCATTTTTTTTTTAAAATAAATTATTTTCAAGTCTTGAGAGTTTATTATTTAAATATTATGATATTTTCATAATTATTTTTTGTTTCATGCAAACCATTCGTGTTATATAAACTAAATAAGCATTTTCTTGTTTATGAATTATGTGATCAAAATAATAAAAATTATGAAAATTATACTGCAAAATTAAGTTTAAAAAGATTAATAAATTGTATGATGATGTAATATATATATTAAATATTCAAATTTATATTTAATATTTAGTGGTGGAAAACAGCTTTTACAATAGATTTCAACCCTTTTTGCTATTTACGACGTCACCTCAAATATTTAAAAATAATTAAAAAGAATATTTTAGTCAAACGATTCCAAAAAAACAACGTCTAGATTCTTTCCCTTTAATTACACATAAATAAATAAATAAATATTTTTTTTTTCTATAATCGGTATTCAAATTTTATTTTTAGTGTTAATAAATTATAAATTTTTACAATAAAATTGAATTAATAATAATTTTCTAGAAGAAAATAAGGGGATAGTTTAATGGTGTTAGGACATTTAACCCTACTTTTAGGTTAACCCAAGAGTTACCGCGGTTCATTTTAGATTTTTACCCGGTTTTGCGTTAAATAAAATCCGGGACTTGGCTTCCAATTAAAGCCAACTCTACTAAACTAATAAAAAACAATCAACATTCCATTTCTGGAATCTCACTCGCATCACATGCACGTGTATTTCACGCTCCCCGCCAAACGCACATATCTTTTTCGTTGGCACTCGCGCTCTGTTTTCATCATAAACCTAAACCTTTCTCTCACCTTTACCTATTAAACCCTAGATCTTCCTCGTCGTCTCTCTTTTTCGCTCCGCCGGTGCTTTACATTTCTGACTTCCGACGAGTAAATGGCTGCCTCTGCTTCACCTTCGCTCCGTACGTCGACGGTTCGGAACTCGGTACTTTCTTCTCTCTCTTCTAAGCTTCCTCTTTCTTCGGCTTTTTCTGTTAATTTTCGTCCTCGGAGTGTTGGTGTGCCGCGGTTTGTTGTGTTGGTTTCTGCGTCGTTGAATGCGAAACCGACGGTTCTTGTTGCGGAGAAGCTAGGTGAAGCGGGTGTTGATCTCCTTAAGGAGTTTGCTAATGTGGATTGCTCCTATAATTTGACTCCTGAGGAGCTCTGCACCAAGATCTCGCTCTGTGATGCGCTTATTGTGCGGAGTGGGACTAAGGTCAGCCGTGAAGTGTTTGAATCCTCTGGAGGGAGGTTGAAGGTTGTTGGGAGGGCTGGTGTTGGCATTGATAATGTGGATCTGGCGGCCGCCACTGAGCATGGTTGCCTGGTGGTGAATGCTCCGACTGCGAACACGGTCGCTGCCGCTGAGCACGGAATCGCGCTTTTAACTGCAATGGCCAGAAATGTTGCCCAAGCCGATGCGTCTGTCAAAGCCGGTACGTTTATATAAAACATTTTACGGAATCTTCGTTTTCTGTAACTTCTTGTTTGCTTTGGATCTGCTCGAAACCATCGAAAGGGCGAAAAGTTCGGAAAGATCTCGACCTTTTGTCGTAATATTGGACGAACATTTTGTTTGAGTCATTTTTTAAAATACATTTTTAATGTTTAAAGTTGATTGCGCTCTAAAGAAACTCCTTGCCCGATTGTGGTGGTTCTGGGAATACGTCATTAAAAAAAAAAAAAAAAAAAAGAAGCATTGAGATGCACTGTAAAAGGTGGGAACCTGTCGGGAATTTGCAAGTTCAGAATTATTCCCATGCTTGCCTGGCCTGGATTTTACCGGACTTTTTACGATTAATAATTTTTCTCTGTAACATAGATTTAAGTAACTTTTTTCTGCATCAGACGTTCTCTTTCCCATATCAGCCAGTTGACACGAAATAGTCGATGATTTTATAGTTTATTGGTTTGATTTTGTATACAAGATGCGTTTGTTAAAAGAACTACTTATGATTTTACATTTTCTCCTCCACCCTAGGGAAGTGGCAACGCAACAAATATGTCGGTGTATCACTTGTGGGGAAAACACTGGCTGTAATGGGATTCGGCAAAGTTGGATCTGAAGTTGCTCGTCGTGCAAAGGGTCTTGGCATGCATGTAATTGCCCATGACCCATATGCCCCAGCTGATCGTGCTCGTGCTATAGGCGTAGAACTTGTGAGCTTTGATGAAGCCATTGGAACTGCGGATTTCATCTCTTTACATATGCCTTTAACTCCATCCACGTCAAAGATTCTTAACGATGAAAATTTTGCAAAAATGAAGAAAGGAGTTAGGATTGTGAATGTTGCTCGTGGAGGAGTAATTGATGAAGAAGCTCTTGTGAGGGCGCTGGATGCTGGAATTGTTGCTCAGGTTCCTTTCCTTCCTACAACTTGAAACTGAAGTTTGCTATTATTATTTACAACGCAAGGATTGTAATATGTTCTTTTTCTGATAGGCTGCACTTGATGTTTTTACTGTGGAACCACCTCCTAAGGATAGCAAGTTGATTCAGCATGAGAATGTCACTGTAACTCCTCATCTCGGTGCCAGCACAATGGAGGCTCAGGTGTGTGTTCTTTTAAATCAAGGACTTAAAGCTTGTGTTTTTCTTTTTACAAGTTCTAATGATCTTTGAATTTGGTGTGCAGGAAGGAGTTGCGGTTGAAATAGCTGAAGCTGTTGTTGGAGCCCTGAAAGGGGAGCTTGCAGCTACTGCCGTCAATGCTCCGATGGTTCCTGCAGAGGTATAAGCCCTTAGTTTTGGAATCTTCTATCTCTCATGTTTCATATTTCATGGTCACTTAAATGTTCATCTGAAAGTAGTTTATTTTTGTTAAAAAAAAAAAAAAAAAAGTTTGCCTTCTAGTTCTGTTCATGTTGACCTCTTTACTTCTCATCGTCATTTGTTTTCTTGATTCTCTTGCCTTCCAAGCGGCTATATCTTTGGTTTTCTGGTTCATTATGCTATCGATAGAGTAAGAATCTTCTGTTGAACGCTTGTCATTTATATGACTTAGAAACCTTCGACATTTCTCCCGATTTCTCGACACTGAATATGGTGTTAAAAAAGAAAAAAAAAGGCTAAATAGTAATCCTTCAACAGTAGGAGAGAATAGAGATTACTTTTGACATTTCTCTAGGTATTGGGATGATTTTTCAGAAAACTGTTAAATGTAAATGGTTCTTAAGCTATCAAAACCTTACTTCTAATTCCAACAATATAACAGTGCCACTGTAAATGGATTGCTTTGTTGTTTCTTTTAATTCGTTACTTTTCGCATACTTATTATCAAGATTTGCTGGGTGACAATTGTGATTTGCATCATTATTCATGTACATTTTATTTTCTGTTAACTAATTTCTCAAGTTTCTGGTATATATAAGGATTCTAAGGAAGTATTATTTCTTCCCTACAGGTGTTAACCGAGCTGAAACCATTTGTTGAACTCGCTGAGAAATTGGGAAGACTGGCTGTCCAATTGGTAGCTGGAGGTAGTGGTGTGAAAACTGTGAAAGTGACATATGCATCCTCCAGAGCTCCTGATGATCTTGACACCAGACTTCTTCGTGCCATGATAACCAAGGGTCTAATCGAGCCGATTTCGAGTGTTTTTGTGAACTTGGTGAATGCTGACTTTACTGCCAAACAGAGAGGACTAAGGATAAGTGAGGAGCGAGTCGTTCTGGATGGGTCACCTGAGAAACCATTAGAATACATTCAGGTCCAGATTGCCAACGTGGAATCCAGATTTGCCAGTGCAATATCAGACACCGGGGAAATTAAGGTGGAAGGACTTGTGAAAGATGGAATCCCTCACCTGACGAAGGTCGGTTCTTTCGAAGTCGACGTTAGTCTGGAAGGTAGCATCATACTGTGCAGGCAGGTTGACCAGCCAGGTATGATTGGAAGAGTTGGAAGCGTTCTGGGAGAAGAAAATGTTAATGTGAGCTTCATGAGTGTCGGGAGGATTGCTCCTCGAAAGCAGGCAGTCATGGCGATCGGTGTCGATGAACAGCCCAGCAAACAAGCTTTGAAGAGGATTGGTGACATTCCAGCAATTGAAGAGTTTGTTTTCCTCAAGTTGTAGGCTGGTGGTGGTCATGAACTTGAAGGCCCCCCCCTATCTTCTGGGTATTTGGATACATTACATTCCTACGTGTTTGGCCCCAATTTTGACAGTTTTCGTTTAAATAAGCTGGTTGGTTCGTTTTCTTTACCAAGTTGTTTGAAGAATGAGTCTTTATTCACTGAGAACGGGATCCCTTTTAAATGGATTCTTGGTCGGGGTTTAATGGCCGATGGATCAAATCCAAATGTAACGACTTAGATCCACCGCTATTTTTTTGGGCTTTCCCTCAAGGTTTTAAAACGTGTCTGCTAGAGGAAAGTTTTCACTCATATAAATGGTGTTTTGACATCACAATCCACCCCCTTTCAGGGCCCAGCGTCCTCGTTGGCACACCGCCTCATGTCTACCCCATTTTGGGGAATAGCGAGATCACACCCTTATAAATGGTGTTTTGACATCACAATCCACTCCCTTTCGGGGCCCAACAGTTTTCACACTCTTATAAATGGTGTTTTGACATCACAATCCACCCTCTTTCGAGGCCCAGCGTCCTCGCTGGCACACCGCCTCTGTCTACCCCATTTTGGGGAATAGTGAGATCACACCCTTATAAATGGTGTTTTGACATCACAATCCACCCCCTTTCGGGGCCCAACTTCCTTGCTGGCACACCGCTTCATGTCTACCCCATTTTGGGGAATAGCGAGAAAGCTGGCACATCGTCCGGTGTCTGGCTATGATACCATTAGTAACAAAGTTGATACATTGTCCAGTGTCTGGCTCTGATACCATTAGTAACGATCCAGATCCACCGCTAGCAGATATTGTCCTTTTTGGACTTTCTCTTTCGGGCTTCCCCTCAAGACTTTAAAACGTGTTTGCTGCTCTCCTCCCAACCAACGTGGGACATCATACCAAATGATTTCAAAATGGGCCTGAACAAGCGGTAGATATCATATTTGGGCCTATGGCCCATTAAGTAATTCAAAATACTCTTTTAATTTTTTTTATATAGATATTTTCACAACATTATCTTCAAATTCACTCACGCAAGTTTTTAGTACTCATTTCTATGTCCAAAACATAGATTTTTAATATTTTAATTACATCCTCAAATCAACCATCTTTGATTTTTGGTCGATAAATATATATTTTTAGCTAGTCGAGTTATACTTAGTTGATAAATTTTAAAACCCTTACCAACCCACATCAAAACACAATTTCGTAATTCTCGTACTTCAAATTGCCTTAAGTTGATATATTTTCCCATATGTTCGATCTGTATCACAACCATATATGTATTTACACAAACATATCGTCCTCGTGTAAAAGGAGAAATATGGGCATCTTGAATTGTTCGGGTAGCTAATCCATTGGTAGCCCAAAAAAACAAAAACAAAAAGTTCTATAGATTACAAAGCAATGATAGGGACATTTGAAGAGGGAATTGAAAGAAGAGATAAATGTTTTGTGGTTCAAAATATTAAAAATAAAATAAAATAAAAATAAATAAAGAGATATGAGAAATTGAAAGGGTGGGTAGTAATAGTAGTAGGGTACCCTCACAGTGTAGCCTCTCAAAGATACCCCAAATTTAGGCCATACCACCTTCCAAAATTAACCCTCTAATCCTTCTTTTTTTTACCATTTGTTTTTTTTTTTTTTTTTTTTTTTTTTTTTTTTTTTTTTTT